ATCTGTTATTGCCTTCCCTAAACACCCAAAGTAGCCCCAAGGCTCTCAGCAGCGCAGGTAAAACCACTCACTGCAGGGAGTGGGCCAGGCAGCTGAGGCATTGCAGCAAGGGAAGAGGGTGCTTGGATGACCCAGCGCCAGGTGAGATTGAAGAAGGAGTTGAAGGAAAGGTGCACAGCATGCTCTGCAAATGAACGGATGGGTTGGTTGGTCGGTTGGTGGGTGGTGGGGTATCGAAGCAAGGCGTCCCCAAAGAAGGGAGAGAGAATGATGATGAGGACTCCAGCTTATCTGAAGGCTAATGAATTACTTCATTATACTCTACTATGTACATTGTATCTAAACTGAATCTGCCATGCACTCACTCTTGCTCACCACTGCTCACACTGTACTCATCCCTGATTCTCTGGTGACTGTCCTGTGACAGACTGACACACACACACACACACACACCTAGACCCTGATAGGCCAAGGGAGCAAAACATCCTCCCTTGGGGTAAACAATCTCCATGTTGCATTCTACTTTAGCACAACACAGGCACAGCAAGTGAGATAAGAATTGTGTTTTCCTCCTTCTCTGCTTGTCTCAGAGCTTCTCTCTGTTCAGAGGGCATGTGAATACCACAGTGGGTGGATGTTTGGATGGACACTGTCAGCCAGGGGGGCCAGGACAGGATGGGGCAGGCAGGATGGGATGGGGCAGGCAGCACTGGAAAGCAGGACCCTGAGCCGGGTGTGACACCCTCAGCAGGGCAGCTGAGTTCCCCAATTTCCACACTGGGGAGGAAGCATTGGTTTTGCTGCCACAACAGTCACCCCTGTGCCATGGGGCTTCTCCTGCACCTCATACTCAGGCCTGGCATCTGCAAATTTGTGGAAACCTTCAATGAATCAGGAGTGAATTTTCCCAGTTTTCTCTAAAAGTGCCTGGCAAATGCAGAAAATGCACTCAGAGCTTTCATCTTCCAAGGCAGACTCTGAGGTACTGTGTAATGGGTCTTTCTTCCATCAGGGCAGCCATACCAGCAGTTTACTTTTAGGCATCATGCCAGTCCTCTAACACACTCTGATTCCCCTTGGACAGGTTATGTACATCAGTGGGCATTTGCTTTACATCAATATTCTGGGTTCTGGTTCACAGATGAACAGTGTTGGAACTTTTTGTGGCATAAAGGCACTCAGACTCCTGAGAGCACAATGGTTTCTAGCAGTCATGCTATACTAAGCACTGCTGATTTTGTCTCACAGCAAAGAGTTATTTCCATTCTGCCTGATAATTCAAAGTGTTTCTTTTGGAAATTATGTTTTAAAAGACTCAGAAAACTGAAAATTAGCAGTGATTTTCATTTTTTTTCTTTTCTTTTTTTTTTTTTAATAATAAAAGCAACCAGCGCTTCCAAAAATACCTTTGTTTATGTATCAGTTGCAAGCCAGAAACTTCTCTCAAATTATCACTGCTTGTAGGAAACTGCCTTAGCTTTACAGATACCAGAACAAAGTGCTTATTTTTGTTATCATGAAAGAAAAACTCCTATGTCCTTCAGCCTGCCAGTATTTCAAAGCCCATCTGAAGCAGAGCAGCAGGTGTAGCAGTTTCTCACAGTCAGTGAAAAGAGTGATGATGAATTGCATATATTGCCCCCAGATCCCTGCCCCTCCTCCAAAAGCCAATCTTTCAGATTAGGCAGAACACAAACAGGGCTGCACAGGACCACCTGCTCTCCCTTGTGCTACATAATATGTTCTCTAAGCTCAGATGTGCCTGGAAATGTAGTGAATCCAAGTTCAAAGGAGGCAGCTAAGGCCAGAGGGGTATAATGGAGTGGGCTGCAGGAGAGGATAATTTATTTTCCAGTTGATAGACTGCTGTGAGTCTCTCTCCAAAATGTATCTTTTGCCTCTTTAGCAAGTGCCCAAAGGTAAATGCTATTGTGCACCATGAAATAACATTTCTGCCTTCAGCTTACACCAGAGACTGGTTTCCTTAGAGGAGTTTGCAGCAGTTTCTACACAGTAGAAACTCACAGTATGACTAGGAAGCCTTTTATTCCTGAGCACCTTTGTCTCTTTCTGGTGTACAAGATTCTACTTCTCCAGGTTCCCAAGTGATTTAACCATGTGGGCAGTCTAGTTCACGAGATATATTTTTATATTTTGTGTGTATCTAGTTCACACTTTGTAGCTTGGGAGACCTCTCAATAGTATCATGTCTCACTGCTACTTTGGAGTTAACCTTCATGGGGTTTTTGTTGTATAGAAAATCATCCAAGCACAAGGTTTATAGGCCAGATTGAGGTAATATCTTTCTCTGTAATAAACAGCTTTCTACATGACTGTATTTTTTTCCAGATAAAAGAAGCTCCTTTTTACAGCTTTTCGCCCCCGTTTTTTGCCTAATTATCAACTTAATGAAAAAACTTCCATTTATTTGCAGCCATTGTACTCGCATCTGAAATTTTGCCAAAGCTTTAGAAAGCTATTGCACTTCCCTTGTAAACCATAACATTACTATATTCAAATAATTCCCCTACATTAATGAGTTAAATAATTCCCCTACATTAATGAGTTATGAACTTCCTTCTTAAAACTACAACCACTCCCTGTCTTCTGCCTCTGCCTCTTGGTTGATTCTCCATCACTCATTTATTCCTCTCTTTAGTTAAGAATACACAGAAGGAATTTCTTCACCACTTTAAGTACAAAATTATATCTCTAATTTCTTTGAATGTTACTATTTTACAACCTCCAAGGTTTTTCTTTAAATGTCAGTTGGAAAATAGCAGGCATTGTTCATGCATTTAAATCTACAGCTGAAATCCACACAATGCAGATATAATAAAAATTTGATTGGTGTTGGTATTGATTGGTCTCATTGCAACTAGTGAAGTAGATGTAACTTCCACTGTATGCCAAAATGGATACTCTGATTTTGTTAATCAAACATAAATCCCATACCAAATCTGGTCCTCAGAACTGACATTCCAGGGACAGCTAAATTGCCAATCATTTTATGTTAGCATCTTCATTTAAGAACAAGCAAATAAAACAATCAGCAAATAACAAACCCAACCAAACAAAACTCCCTCCATTAAAACATATGGAATCAAGGTATACTTTCAGTCCAGCTTAAGTTGCCCAGGTAATCTGTTTTGTCCAGTGCCCTTCTGCTTGCTTAAATACCTGGCATGAGAAGTGAGATGAAGAGACTGGCATCAAGAAGCACGGTGCTGGGAGAAAGGGCCTTGGTCTAAAAGGAAACGAGAGACAAGGAGATGCAGCATCTCCACTTTGGTCTGAGGAGCTGCAGAGCACATGCCAGAAGCCTCACACATATTTCCTCCATGTGCAGACAAAGTGAAAACCAACAGAAGTTCAGTAAAGCTTTGGCTGCATATCAATGCCATCTATACAAATACTACATCCAAACATGAAGCCTCTAAAGGCTACTCCCAAAATGAGATGATTTCTTTAATCAGGGGGTTATGAAGGCAGCAGAGCGTCTGCCATGCATAAATGTAGTGTGCTTCTGGAGACAGCTGGTGACTTTGGCTGGGACTGCAAGGTGGGGAACCTCTGCCAGGGCCCAGCAGTGACTGGTGACTGCTGTGGTTGGAAACCAGAATTATTTTCACCTGGTTTGTATAAGCAATAGTGCAGAGCATTTTGGATCCTCAGTCCCTATCCCAGCCCTGGACACTCACATCAGGGCTGAGAATGTTGCTATTGCTTCTCCAGCCCTGATGCCAAGCTGGGCACTGCAGCCACTGCAGGGCCACCACACCATGCCATTGTGGACATTGGGGTCAAGAGCAGGGAGAGAACAGTACCACATGCCAAGTGTGCCCTGGGGGTTGTGTGATTCACAGAGTGAAACGAGAACAGTAAAAGTATCAAGAGGCACTTTTGACCAGAGGCTGATCAGAGAAGCATCCTTCAGACAGGTCAGGAAGGAGCTGATGAGATGAGGATCCATATGGAAAAGGAAAAGGGAGAAGGGAAAAGAAAAGCACATGAAGTGGTTTCTGTTGCTTTTTATTGGTGTTGCACACTTTATATTTAATAAGAAATGTCTTTGATTCATGTCAAAATACCCCAGTAAATCAGTACAAGTCCTCACAGTTGCAGAGGTGCCATTTTCTAAGCCTTTGCTCTCTCCCTTAGATTTTTAGATTCCATGTCAGTATTTGTCCCCAATCCCCAAGACAGTTTCCAGCTCAGCACATTCAGTTCTGCTTGTTTTTACTTTTCTTATCTTGCACAGTTTCAGTTTACAGACTCTCAGAGCTCAGTGACAGCCTCCTCAGTGACAGTGAGCCAAGGTCAGGCAACAGAGCTGCACAAAACCAGCACAGGGTCAAGGGCAGCTGAGCCCTGAACCTGACAGCAGAGCTCAGGGAAGTCCTGTGGTCCCTCTGTGACACCAAACTGCCTTTGAGTAGGAAGGACAACAGATCCCATCTGAGTGATGATGCAGCAGACTGGTAGCCACAGGGATCTCTCTCTTCACTGGGATGCACATCTCTTTCAACACATGATTTGAGATGCACCAGTCAATATGTCTCACACTGATCCAGCAAGCATGATATTCCATGCACACAACAAACTGAAATACATATAAATCTGTGGGCATGTACATTATGTACACATGTGCATATATATAAAATCATACAACATTAGATAGACTGCTAAACCATAAATCCTCATTCCATGTTAAAGACAATTTTTGAATTAAAAAAAGTTTAAATAAAATTTTTAATTCTTTCTTCCTCTTTTAGCTCAGAATTATTGGCAGAAAAAAGTAGAATCACTCCTCTCAGCCCCTACCCTCCCCAAAAAAGCAAATTGTACCCTCACTGCAGCAGGCTTTTATACAAATCTCTCAAAAAAACCACAGCTCCGCTTTCTCCACTTTTACAGTAAGATATTAGGGCTAGGAAGCCTTAGTCGTGGCCATGGTTAAAGGAATTGCTTAAAGGGTCAGAATTTCAATCTTGGGTTTTAATTTATTGACACTCTGCAGAGTTGTGTCCAGCTCCTGAGTATTCACTGGATCTGATTTTTGCTACTCTTTCCCTTCATTTTTTACTTTCTACATAGTGAAGTCTGATATTAAAAATTTTTGTATCATTCATTTGTGAATTTGGATAGGAGTAAGGTGGAGGGAAAAAAACCAGCATCCCCTAATCAATTTTAAATCTTGCAAAAATCACCACTTTCAAACTTTCTGAGGAAGATGTAAATTTATCAAATATCCTCACACTCATATATATGGACTTCTTCTCCTCTTAAGTTATAATAACAAAAAAATGTCTTCTGGTTTTCCTTTCCACTGAAAATTGTTGCATACATACACTTTTCCTTCAGTCAGAACTCATGGCAGTTTTAAAAATTCTGCTGAAATAAGTACAGTGACAACACAGTGTCACAGCACAGAATCACAACACAGTTTACAGAACTTCAGCATGAACATTTCAGAGGGTACCTGATTCCAAAAAGGCAAATAAAACTCTTGATTTGCATTCCAAGTACCAGCCTGAAAGGAACTTAATTACATTAACTACAAAATGCTTATTACAAGATTATTTTTAAGATTCTGGTATTTTGAGTTGTAATATAAAGAGAAATTTATCCTACAAAGACTGATTTTAAAATATCCCATGAAAAGGCTTAGAGAATTAAAAACCAGTTATGCTGAAATGATTTTATGATAATGGGTGACAGTGAAGAATTTGAGTGCATAACAGAGACATCTGCTTTGCAAACAAAAAGAAATTAGTGAAGTGGTCTCAATGACACTCCAAATGTTGCTTATTTCATCTGTCTATCCTCTAAAACCAGATCTACTCACAGCATCATCCCTAACAACATTTAATACAGCTATCAAAAAAGGAAAAAAGGAAAGGCAATGTACAGTAGGGAATTTAGGAACACAGGATTGGGCCATTGTTTCTTGGGAATTGGAGACAAATGCATCATAGAATTGCTTTCATAAGCTGATCAAAATACTTCTTAAATTAAAGTGACAGGAAACTCATTGGAGGAGAGTTAAGGGACACTGGAGGTTAAAGAGACCAATTTTTGTCTTGTTGGTCCCTACCCACACAGCCACAGTAGCCATGAGGCACAATAACTCATCAGTTGCTCAGCTGCACAATTACTTTTAAGCTGTTCCATTTAAATGTAAGTTGATTTATGAAGCAGATCATGCAATTAATACAAGGGAAAAAACCCTCACAAATGAAGATGATGCTTCTGCTGCCCTGAACTGACTGAAGAGCCACCACCATGGGGGTGGGAGATCCACTCCTCACCCTGAGGTTTAGCACAATAAGCTAAGTTCTCACAGAAGGCAAATTTTATTTTGGACAGATTTTTAAATAAAGTGATTTATATTTCTTCCATCAGCTGTCAGCTGTGCCTTGCAGAAATGAGTAACAATTTGTTTAATATTGGGACATCTTAGTAGTTTGTGAAGTAGTTTTCAGCTAGCTTTTATACTGGCTCTATCCAGTGCTCAAAAGCTCACTTTGCACTCAATGCCTTCTGGCTCAGCTTCACCACTCTGCATTTTGAACAGGGGTTGACTGAGTATTAGGTTTGATTTGTCTTTACTAAAAGTAAATCTAGTGTCAGGCCAAAGTAACATAGTGCATAACTCTGGTTTGCACTCAGATCCCTCAGAGAAAGAAGGGAGTTGGACTTATAACCATCTCTTTTCACAGTAATAAATGCATAAGAAAGTTAGAACTCTGCCATCAGTGACCTAGGAGCACAAAGAACAAGGTGTTGGCAATTCAGGTGCTGCACACTTCCTGGAATCAGGACTTAAAAGCAAGATCTAACAGTTTGAAAATGTAACATCTTTTTTCCTTTTGTAAAGGAAGTGAAAACAGTTTTTCCATTTTCAGAAATCATCAGTGTATCATTAGCATCCAATATAAATTCTGAGAATCCAGCATATGCTTTTGATAACAGATAAAATAATTTGGAAGTACATTAAATATTTAAGTATCTGATAAGTTTCTCACATGTGTAGTTGTAGATTTCTGAGACTGACAAAGTGAAAGGGAGAGACTGAAAGAGATTATGTGACTAACCTGGGGAAGCAAACCTTGACCCTTTGTCTTCCACCAGTTTAAAACCCACATTAAAGTACTTTATAAATCTAACATTTTTAATAGGCAGACCTGGTCATATATTGAAGGTAAACAATTCCAATTTTCCTTGTAATACAATCATTCCAGAAAAGTCTTTAATCAAAATATGCTAGCCAGAGTGATAAATCACTTAGAACAATAAAATCACCTGCATGAGCAAACACAGCTTCTGTCAGTAATTGTGCTTCCTTGCCCTAGGCATGAGTTTGTTACATATGGGAAGTGATAATACTTGTGCTTACAGTTCCCAGTACCACATTTTCCTTTCCCAGCTCACACTTACTCATACACATGCTTACCCAGCAGCAGTTACATAAGATGCAATTCCAAACAACATTTATAATCCACCTCTTGCAAACAATAAACTGCATCAAATTAGCCCCTGATGTGCTTTGTACTATCAAAGCAATTTGCAGATCCATCATGAAGTATCAGGACTATTATTTTTCTGCAGTCAGTAAAACTGTTTTTTTCTGACAGTGTTACCTGCAAGTGCTGGGTTATGTGAACTTACTGTCATATAACTGAGACACCCTGAGGCAAAAGGACAATTCAGCAACCTCCATTTCTGGGAGCTGGAGTACATATCCATCTGATCCAACATCATGAGATGTCCCAGAAGCAACATCAGTGATGCTCCAGACTACTGATTTCTCCTGGTGATGTCCATCACACCCTACACATTACAGCATTTTTGGGGACCCTGAACCCTGCCCTTACCTTGACTAGCCTGTTCCCTTGCACAGCTGTGTACAGTTCTATCTATGGACCATAAGCCCTTTCCACATGGCAGCCACCAAAGCAGAGAATGTTTCTTTCCATTTGTTTTTTTTTGTACATTTGTTTTTCCTATATTTGAACCTCCTCTGTGGGACAGATTTATTGCTCTTCTCAGAGGAATGTTGCCCTCATTTACTCACCTAGTGCTATGCCTAACTACTGTAAAGAAAACTCAGTGTGTAGCTTAAGTTGAAAGGCAACAATAACAAATCATTTACTTCCTCATTAACACTTCATAATTATTATATATAACTTTCTTTGTCTGGCCAGTTCCACATCCTGGAAATAGTAATTTTCACCATATTTCTTTAAAAATTTGCAGCATGTGGGAGATGTTCAGGCCCTCAAATTTTACGGGCAGTCAGCATGAGATATTACCAACTCAGAAGGTTTGCCTCTAGAGTCCTTGTTGCCAGATTCAAGCAGCAGGTGGGTTCTACCAGCTGGATCATTCTGAAAGTGGGGTTTCCTGACTGACAATTGCTTTCAGTGAGCAGCAATTCATACTCTGTTTTGCAGAGCCATCTTTGGGAGATGGCAGAGGTACAACAGAATGTTAGGGAAAAGAACATCTGCTCAATGTCAGAACAGTGCCCACCACCTCAGCAAAGACTGTCATTAGTGCCAGCCATGGTGCAGGCACTGCTCAGTCCTTTCAGCTGTGTTCAGTGAAAGGAACCAAACCCAGAGGTCTGGGCATCAGTGGGGTCAGCACAGGGAGCAGAGGCATTAGCAGGAAATGTACACACACATTAGAAAAGACTCCACAGAAGTTTTGCTACCATCAAACAATACATCAAAAACCAAACAACTCATATTCCTTTTTGTTGCCTCGAAATAGACTTGGAAAAAATTCCACTATTTACATTGGATTACAGTTTCAGCACAAACCTTACGTTAGGCCTTTTTTTCTGCAAACCAAAATGCAAGTAGGGCACCAGCTAGAATGGAAATATAAATGATTATTTAGCTAAGGTCTGATCTTACAGAATCAGCAAAAAAAGCAAACTAAGAACAGGACCTTAACCATGGGGGAGAAAAGTATAATATGCATGTCCCTGCTATATAAAATCCAGTGCACTTGCATTGGTTAAGCAGATTGTATTATATTCGCTTCATGCTTGTATTCAAAGAAAAAGAGTAACAAGAGATATTTGAATTTACCATACAAGGACTACAAGAAACTGAAAAAAATAAAAAGCCTGAAGAAAAGCAGAGATGCCCACTGGCTCTGTTATCAACCTGGATGACGGCATATGAAAATAAGTTGCTTGGTCATTGTAACATTAAACTATGAAAAATCCTTCCATGCAGAGCAAGACATAATTTATACAGCTTTTCCCCATGAACGCTGTTATCAGCCCTTCCTTAACCCAGAACTCACCACAAGCTCCATAGGCTGCATCATGTTCAAAACACCAAACACTGGGGCTTGCATACAAGACCATGGTATTATTCGTGCTCTTGATTTAAAGAATTTTTAAATTATTATTTCAGACTCTTTCACTAAAGTAAAATTGATTCCAGCTTTACAGTTGAAAAGCGTCTAGTAGCATATAATGCCATGAATGAATGTGCTGTTTTGTAACCTGAAACCATCACGTATTTCTGGATACTCCACACACCAATGAGTATTAACCTAATTATAATTAAGGTTTCTTAAATTATAAAAATGAAATCATAAAAAGCTCATATAATATTACAAATGCTTATGATTGCCTCTCACTTAGAGCTCTTCAAAAACTGCAAGGGACTGTGTCTATCAAACTCCTGTTAGGAATGCCACCTTGTGGATAAAAGCTGTATGGGACAACGATTCCAGGTAAATGTCACTAAAATTTTTACTTGCAAAAAACTGGTTTTACAGAAATAAGCTGCTCTTGTGGTGTTTCAAAATTGCATCAAATTCTTTTATTAACCTTTCTGGTAGAAAAATACTGTGAATATGGCTCATCTGTATAAAATGCTAATTAATTATGCAGGGAGCACTGGTTTCATTAGTAGATGGGATGCATTTATTAGCATTTTAAACAGAATCAGATTGCCACAGATACTTAGAAAACAAGTCCACTAAATGCCTGCTCTATTTAGATATAATTTAGTGAATTAGTTTAAAATGTAATGAAAAAATACACTTAAATCAAAATATGTTGCTAGAGCAGAACCTATTAGTATATTTTACCTTCTCTAAGCTTTAATTGGTATATAAAAGTTCAAGTTTAACTATAAAAAGGAACTATTGGATTTTTTCATTTGTCATATAAGTCTTATTATGAGCTGAAGATGAATTTTAAATGGCCATTGGATTGCAGGTTGCTTGTAAAACTTGTAAAAGCTGAGAAAAAAGGGGCCCAAAAGCATCTAATAAATTTCAAAAGACCTCCAACTTTTAAAAGCTTGAGAAAATAAATAATAATTAGCTACATTCAATAAAGCTGACATTTACACAGACACTTTCCTCCTGTGCTGTTCACCTCATTTTCATAATGAAAGTATATATAGCCCAAACCATCACAAGGCGTATTGTATAATGAAATTTAAAACTAATGAGCCATATCCTAATAGCCATGAGTCAAGTCAGGGTATGCATTAGTAGCCCATTTGCAATTCTCTAGAGACAGAAAGAACAAGGCTAAACATATTCAGTAGCCTATTTTGCTCTGTGTACTGATCACACCACAGCAGAACTGAAATTAGCTCATAATCTCTATCTCTGAAATCTCTGTGAAATGCTGTTCATGCTTTTGTTAAAGGCAAGTTACTCCTGGGGCAGCCAAACACGACTTGTGATTGTTTGGTTTCACCTCTTTTGTAACGTGGGTCTGACTTGTCTGAATTAGTCCTCTTTCTATCAAATCACATTTTTCAAGAAATCATCTAATATGTCCAGACTAGGGATGCCTTTACTGTTCTGTTATGTACTTTTATCTCTTTTTGTAACGTGTCCTTCTGCTTACACTTGCTGGATCACTCTTCCTCTGCTATGTGGAACAGCTCTTTATTATCAATTTTTCTCCAAAGATGGTTCATTTAGGCAGATTCTTCTTTCACTAAATTAAGCAGATTCTGGTTTTTGAGTCTCTCATGCCAGTGGTTCTTTTTAATACTTTTATTGTTCTCATGACTTTTCTGTCCAGCTTCCCAGCATTACTGAAAATTGTGACTATTGAAATTGAGCATAATATTCTTCCAAAAGGTTACATCAAAGCCAAATACAGACAGCAGTATTTCTTCCCTGGCAGTATTCCCACTTCTAACCTCAGGATCTCACTGGTCCTTTTGGCCACAAGGCATGCTGAAATTTCATGCTCAGTTGAGAATGCTCATCATCTCCAGACACCATTCAAAGTCAGCATTTCCTATCACAAATTATTCCAACTTGCTAAGTATGTTCTCAAACCTCTGTTCTCCTAAAAACACAGGTCTACTTTAGGCCAGAGTGAAATGCAAATTGCCTACAGCTCCTAACCAAGCAATTAATCTTGCTCTGATTAAGTGGCTCCTTAGTATTTAAGTTTTGTGGCATCTGGAGATTTGAACAGTCATTACTTTATTTCCTCCTATGTTCTTAATAAACTCATGGTTAAGAGCCAAATCTTGTGTGAACTCACATAACAAATCTGTTCAGTCTTTTCTTTCTAATTTACATTTTGAGTTCTTTCAGGCTTGACTCAATTATTGTCATAATGAATTTTAAATCTGGGGGTGATACCCTCCATGTTTCTACAACAATAACTCTTTAAAATAAAAGGAACTATTTAAAAATCTAAGTCTATTCCAAATACCAGTGACAAAATATCTAAATAAAATGCCAGAGTAACAATTCCTGTGCTATGTAACTGATTTTGTGAAACTTGAGATACACTTTTTATGAAAAATGTGTTCCTATGTTGTGCAAGGAAAACAGAGTGGCTGCTCCCCTTGGTTAAACTTTATAATATCAGACATATGCAAGTAAATCAGGTCTTACCTTAATTCTACTGAATAATTTTCCTATACTGCCAAGAAGGGGACCAGACAGCATCTTAAACACTTATCAGGAAATAAAGTCTTCTCAAGTAAACTGAGCAAACAGCTTAGATTGTGGTCCACACTGAGAGATCCACACTGAGACACTTGGCCCACACTGAGAGATCTTGGAAAGATTTAGTTCTCTCTAAGTTGGAGAGCAAGACCAAGACGGTTGTCTTTTAGATTTCTACATTCTGAAAAAATCTGAAGAAACAAGCTGAGCACATTTGTAACTGCTGTGAAAACACAGTGACATTTAAATCCTCCTTAGGCTGCTAATACATGTTCAGAATCAATGGCCCACTCACATTAATTCACTGACATTAACTGCTCATTGTGGTTTCAACCGTTCAAGTAATTTTTAAGCCCATGATCCTGAAATGATATTAGCAGTGTACCAAAGGTGCTCCACATCAGCTAACAGACAACTAGCTCATCTCTCCACAGAACTAAACATGAATAAAAAACATTAAACTATCAGAGATTTCCTGTTCCATACTAATCCTCAGAATACAGGCTTTCCATGCAGCACTGGACAAGTCTGTGGTGCAATGTAAACAGTCTTTAGACATTTGCTGATTTGATCTGTGTTTCCTTTTTTATAAATCCTTCCTTCCAGAATGATGCACATTATCACACTAAAATCTTAGTCTCAGCAAAGTGAATTACTAGATTATCACCAAATATACACCAACTTTCAAGGAAACACATCTTTCAAGACTTAAAAATATCAAACTCTGAAACCACTTATTTTAGTGGATTTTCTTTATAGCAGATTGGTAAGAACTTTCAAATATATCTGCAAACAAAGAACTATAGTGCTATATAAATCTTGCAGTGCTTATTTAGGAAAAAATACAGTGGATACAAATGAGTAATGTGTATTTCATGTATGCCAAATATGATACACTTAATAGCAATATCTGTTCTTGATGTCCTTGAAAGCAAAGCTGACCTTTTGACCAACAAGAATCTTCCCTCTAGAGTTCCATCAGATAAAATATTTCATCACCTCAAAAGTGTAAATAGCAATTCTTTTTATATCATAAAATACTAAGAAAACAGAATTATCTTCTGATGTTCTATTCATCCTTTACCTCATGTCTTCTCCCTGACAAGAAGGGCTGTGACTAAAGGCAAGTAATGAGCACCTGGTACATCTGTAAACAAAACAAAGTATTTTCCACATAAATATTATTATAATAAAAAGTGTAAATATATACGTTGTGTCTCTCCTTACATTTGTTAAGTTTGTCCCTGAGGTTTTTCATATAGTAGGAAGTGTTCAGCCAAGATTGATCTATACAGAAGAATACCAGCTTAACTAAAGCAATGCTTTTACTCTGGGTCAACAAAACAAGTAGAAATGTGTAGCTCTGCATGCTCACACTCTCTGTCAACCTGGATTTTATTGATTGATACTGCAACATCCTGCTAGACTAATAGGAGCAAACTGTGTATACAGCAAACCTAAATGGCTTAAGGAATCTTACTAACCAGCACAATGTAGATTTGCTTTTCTGTACCATTGGCACACTACTTTGCCTTAACAAGTTAATAGGAAATAATGTATGACAGCATCCAGGGTGCACAGTGTCTGCATGCTGAACACACAGGATGAAAAAAAAGGGCACTTCTGCAGAGTCTTTAATGCCTTCTGAATCTTTCATAATTCTGACAGTGGGGAAAAAAGGACCATATCAGTAGCACAAGATTTGCTGAGCCACAGCGTATCGCCGACACTAAGAAAATCTGGGCTAGGGAGAAAGGAGGATTGCTTCCCTCACTATCCTCTGTACCCACAGCCAGCTATTCTGAGCATGCTGAAAATTTTTTCCCTTCCATTTCTGCAGGCCCTGCAGGACAGAAGATTGTACACCACAGCTACCAGAACACAGCATTAGCACCAGCTCAAATACTGTGTACATCCAGGATCACAACACTACTGCAGCATTTTATAATGTTCATTACTAGGATTCACAAGCAGATGTAGTGCAGGAAAATAGTTTGCTGAAGTTAATGAAAGTCTAAAAATTAATTATTTTTTAAAATTAGTAAATACTATACTGTAAAAGCCTTTAGGCATTCTGAGAAATGTATTAATATTGTATGTGTTCATTAACCACTGCCCTTAGACACTCTAAGTCCCCATTGAAAGCCCTTTTCTAAGTACAAGTGCTCATTTTTTTACTTATTTAGTTAATATTGGCTGCTATAATGGCTCATGTGATAGGAAAGCAGCAACCAGAAATTCAAACCATGCTTGGGCTACTGCCATGAACTATAAAATAATTTAGTCATGCCAAAATAAATCTCCTGCTCGTTTAGCTCTGACCAGTTTATCTAACACTGAGTTATCTCAGGGTAGGATGTTGGCTTCTAGTCTTATCTTGTTTAGAATCTCAGCTCTTCCCTTTCAGGTACTTTCTACAAAAACAAGCTCTTTGAAGATGTTTCTATAAAGTATTGTAACAGTTTGTGACAAACAGCCCTGTGATTTTTCCATTAAGCCCCATGGAACCAAGTACTGCAGGATTTCCACGGAGTCCTTATGCTGAAACCAAGCCCTGTCCCAGTAATTCAATCCAGGCAGTTGGGTTTGTTTGGTTTTGGGTTTTTATTTTCAAGGTTTAGAATTCTGGTTTTCTACTGAGCACATCCAGAGAAAGCATTAAATTTTTTGCCACTTGGAATTACTGTAAGAATCAGATTGAAACAGAGAAATACAAGGTGGATGCTCACTTATCACTGATACAAGCAGTGCTCCTTTCTTGGCAATATGCTGATGTAACTTTTTCTTACAGGACTTGGATTTTTTAAAATTACATAATCATGGTCTTTTCCATGTTGTATTTGGAAAATGATGAAAATTCCCCTGCCCTATGAGGACAGTGAGTCTGATCTTTTCATGCTACAGGAGGTTCAGCTGCCACTTCAGCACAGTTGTCCAACACTTCAGTGGTGGTTAGGAAGAGATTGGAGGCTCTCTCTTCACAAGGAGCCATATGGAAATGACAAGGGGAAGAGGAGAAGGTTGCACCAGGAGAGGGTTCATTTTTGTATAAGAAAGAAATTTTTACAGTGAGAACAGTGGAACAATTATCCCCAGGGATATGGGAGAGTCTCCATTGCTAGAAGTTTTTAAGACACAACCATAAGGATGCTAGATAATCTCATCTGGGCTCCCTTTGTCACAAAAGGTTGGCCCAGATGACTTTTTCAGGTCACTTCCAACCTGGCCTGTTCACAATTCCATAAAAACAAAAAGTTATTTTTCAAAGTTACTAGAGAAATAGTGAAAAAGGTTTTAGCAAAGAACTAGAAAGGTCCTAAAAAAGTACCTAAGAATGGGGGAATCTAGAAAGCTCCTGTGTCACACTCCTGTTCTTAGCTACATTTAATAACACTCTATACACATTCACTGTGGCAAAGGCACATCGTGCTGGGGACTTTTACCTTCAGCTGGAAAAAATGACAATTAAAACAGTTTGCTAGATGGTGTCTTGTTCACTTCTAGTGCGGCAAAAAGTACAAGCAGGCACACAGAGGAAGCTGTCAGATATGACAACAGTTCAAAGCCTCAAGTGAATCTTGACATGTAGGAAATGTTGCCTATTGAAGAGGCAAAAAAAGGTTATCAATTACCAGATTATTTGCATCTTAGTGGGAAACACAACTTCCCATAGCTGTATGTCCTTACATCTGAAGACTCTTAGCTCTTTACCTCTAACTGCATGCCACTTAAACCTTTCAATATATCATTTTACCATTTCTCATAGTATGAAATGTAGTTTATGTCCTTGTGAAATATAATCTTCAATTAGTAGAATACATTTGTCCATAACCACATGATCTCCTAGGACAATCCAGTCTAATTTTCCTTCAGAAAAAAAAAACAAACAGCAAAGTGCCTGTCATTAGCAAAACCACACAGATGTATTTTGGGTTACATAATGAACACTTCTGATGCTATCAGACTGGAATTCATCCTTCACTTTCCTTGATGAGATGCCAAGTAATTTGGGAAGCTTCTTTCTAACATTAATTCATGCAAAGCTCGAATAGAATAGAACATCAAGGAAATTAACTTAAGAAAAATATGAAAACATAAGTAATTAGAACAAGAAAAGCTATATGATCTCCAAGATAAAACATAATACAAAAAAATATATCTAAATAAATAGTGAAGTCTGTTTCTTATTTAAGAAGACAGCTGTTACCACTATCAGATTCTTCTATAGTACTAAAAAAGGATTTTAAAGTTGAAAGTTCAAATAAAAAACGTCTAGGAAAGAGACCACAAGACATTAGAGAAAGAGGCACACCTCAAATATATTAAAAATATTTAATTAGGTATTCTATTTGACACAGGAAAATATTTGTGAAAAAAAGCATTAAAAACAAAATTACCAGATTTTATATTCAGACACTGGCAACACAATACATAAAAACATTATACAAGAAGGTAATATATCACAAAATTCAATGGTTCAAGGATTAACAATACAAGGGTATTTTAATCTTTGTAGTGAAATCAACTCTCATTAGTTACATATGAACACCATTATATCACTATGTTTCAGTGCCCTAAGTGAAATGAGTTAAAGTTTAATTAAACATCCACTGACCAAAGGTTCACATCATTGTTCAACAAAACCAGAGCTATTAGTTCCAGAAAGGTCAGACTTCATTATCTGTCTCTTTCCATCGAGGATGCTTCAGCACTGCCAAGGAGAGCCAGCAGTGCTGGCATCTCTACTGTGTATGATTTGCAAAGAGGTATTCCAGTTTTTTACACTCTAGATTCACAACCTTTCACTGCCACTAGAAATCTCACACATGTTACTTACAAATACTGTTGAAAGCTTGACAACTGAATATAAAACTGTGAGATGTGCTGTGGACTGGACACAGGCCAGAGGAATGATGGCTTTCATAAAGCATGCAGCTTGTTAAGAAGGTATTGCAATTGTGTTCATTGGACCAGTTGCTCAAAAAACTTTCATAAAATGATTTTGAATTAAGGTTTCTATATGGGACATCAGCACACTCATATCAGCAGCACAGACCTGGTGATCCCCATTTCCTGTCTTTTTCAGGGTTTCCAATAGGCCCCAGTGGATTGGAGGCAGAGCGCTGTAAGAACTCAGCAAGTGAAGCTGACTTAATGGATTCTGATTTATTTCTGCAATCCTCAAGGCCCTCAAGATAGCAGGTGCAAACTTAGAATAATGAGCTGTAGATGAAATAATAATTGGGCAAGTTCTATCTTGTAATCGATCTGCAACTACTTTAGCAACAGCTGTGTGTGTATCTAAAATATATCCTGTAGTACTGTACACAGAGTGAATGGCAGCCAGACAGTCCTCATCAGAGCACCAGCCAGCCACTAAGTCCTGCTGAAGCTTTCCAAGTAGATCTTTCTGCAGCTGGAAGTGGCCCTGATTTTCCAGTTGATTAAATAATTGTGTCACCAGCTGTCCATCTTCATTAGCAATCAGGTGTAAGTATCGCTCAAGATTGGAGGACTTCAAAATATCGACTGCTGGTGAAAAACTGGAAATTAATTTTCTTCCCCTCAAATCATAAACACCTGTTCTTATGAATTCAGTCAAAACATTGTTTTCATTGGAAGCACAAATACATTTCCTGATAGGAATTCCCATCATTTTAGCATAGAAAGCAGCTAAGATGTTGCCAAAGTTTCCCGTAGGAATGCAAACATCTACAGGGCTTCCAAAAGAAATAATACCCTGATGAACGAGATCAAGGTACGCAGAGGCGTGATAAACTATCTGAGGAAGCAGTCGTGCCCAGTTTATGGAGTTTGCTGCAGCTAAAGCTGTTCCATATTCTACTGTAAGAAAGCCAGTAAAATCAGAATTAGTAAAGATTTGCTTTATAGCTGTCTGGCAAAAATCAAAATCTGATTTGACACCCACTGACCAAGCATTTTCCTTCTGACAGCCAATCATTTGTGATTTTTGAATTGGGCTTACTCCATCCTCAGGAAAAAAATTCATCAGAGCAATTCTCTGTTTGTCAGTGTCATGGAGACGACTAAAGCCATCCAGAACAGCACTCCCCGTGTCCCCAGAAGTAGCTACCAGAATCAAGTAATTGCAGCTTCTGGGAATGCAGTAGGCAAATAAATGTGGCATCAACTGTAATGCAAAATCTTTAAATGATGCTGTTGGTCCATGAAATAACTCAAGAAGGAACTGATTGCCTGCCAGATGCCTAACTGGGGCAACTTTAGAACAACTAAAGTTTTCTCCATAAGCAGTTTCAATAATTTCTGCCAGCCTAGAAGCAGGAATATCAGCAGGATGTATGCATCTTTCTAGTATCACCTGGGCTCTTTCAACGTAAGTTGCTTCTATCAGACCTTGCCATTCTTCAGCAGTGAATTTTGGAAGTCCTCTCTCAGGAACAAAGAGTCCCCCATCAAGGGCTAAGCCCTGAATAACAACATCACTGAAATAAAATTTATTAGAGTCTTCTTCCGTACTCCTTCCAGACCTACTAGACCTTGTTGAAATGAAAGTTTCCAGTTCTGAGTCTTGGTATCTCTTCACAGCGTCAAGTACCTTTTCTGCCACGACCTCTGCAGCAACATCCCCACCACAAAGAACACGGATGTCAAACCACCTTTTGTAGAACTGCTTCCTAAACTGGAGCACATCTTTGAGAGAAACACCAGGAGACAGCCCCACAATACGATCCATCTGCTTTGATTTCAGCCTGCTCATAATGACTGATGTGGGCACATCCAGATACACAACTATTCCATTCTCCTTTATGTGCTGCATGCCAGCAGCATGCATTGGATTGGATCCACTGAGGGAAATGACACTTCCAGATGCTGAGAACTTCAACAGGGCTTTTCCTTCCTCCTCTAGAAATTCCTCATAACCAAGGTCCTGCAGTTTTTGTGACACGCTCATGTTCCAGGTTTTTTCAAGGACATCATCATCTATGTCTATGACAGGGCAATCCAGTTTCTGGCCCACTATTCTCCCAGTCGTTGTTTTCCCAGCACCTGGAGGTCCCATCAGGATAATATTTTTCTTTCCAAGAAGAGAATGACTTGAGAACCATGACTTCCATATTTGTGCAAATGCAACAGGTCTTGAAAATGTGAGTTTTAAACACATGCTAGAAAGACTGTTTTGGGTTATTAGTCTTAAAGGCTGATATTGAAAAACGGGAAACATCTTCTGATGAGTTATTGTGGGTTTTTTTCCAACTTGACAATCCACTTAACTGCTTCAGAAAGAAAACAACAAAAAAAAACCAAACAGTAACTAGTCCTTCAGCAAATATCTAAGAAAAAGCCCTCAAGGATATAAAATTCAGAGCAAGAGATCAAATATAAATCCAGCTATGACCTCATCAGTGCCAAGAAGGTATTTTTCAGAGTAAGACTCATTTCCCTCTCCTGCTTAGTTCCAGCTTGTTTCCACTCACAAACCCAACATGAAAAAGTCCATGTCCTCAAGGTAAAAAAAGACATCCAAGCCTAACACTACAATAATGTTCACAAATAATATTGCTCATAGGAGTTAAAAAACAATTTGTTTTTCTTCTAGAAGACTTGCTTTTAACTACACATTTATAAGTAAAAATAAACTAGGTTACCTTCTTGTAATCAAAATGTTACCAAAATATGCATTTGTCCCACCTCCCAAGGAAACTTGGATTATTTTTAATCCTTTGTTTTTAAAAAAAGCAAATGCAAGACTCACTTAAATACACAGATAACTCACAGTCCTGTGCAACAGCAAGGCTGGATGAGTTGCATTGAAATCTCTTCTGAAGGGATGGAAACCAAGCAAGGGATTTTTGAAGAACTCCTATACTGGAATTGTATTGAATGTAATTTGGGAATGGAAAGAGGAGGAGAAAGAGACAGACAGAGAGAAATCATGAGGACTCTCTAACAAAAAAGTAACTAAGAAGGATGGATTTCCAACAAAGTAAGAGACTCCCAACATTGTGCTTTTTACTTAGAGAAATAAACACCAGTATCAGCACTAATTGGAGCACATGATTTGTCTGCAATATTTAGAGCAAAAGGGGAAAGACTCAAAATCTCCCTAAAACTGTGAGGGGGGCATGGGGAAGAGCATTTGCTCACTACTATGCAGAGCTGAGTTTGCAAACAGTAAATCTCTGTGTCTGCACCCAGTGTTGTGACCTGGAGGATATGCTGTAATTACAAGGCAAAGATCAGAGTAGAGATGGGCATATAATGCTATCCACGTTTTTTCCTCAATCCTTGTAAATTATAAGGGGATCATCCTGTGTAGATGCAATATAAGGGGTTTATAAATCTTTAATAAAAAAGAGTTTTAGAAATCTTCATAAACCCTTATTAAAAGTAAAAACAAACTGCAAAGAGTAATTGTAATATCCAGTATTGCTCTAAAAGTGTACTGCAATAGTAAGTGCTCTGGTGCATATAAAATTATGTATGGTTTTTTTAGGGACAGAAAGAGATCTTTATATTAAACTTGCATGATGTAAAAAAGTTATATTCAGGAGTAAATAAACCCAAAACCAGTAGATTTTAGTGACTTTATTTCTTGAACATAAGAATCACTTGAAGCATTGTGTGTGTGAACTAAGGGAGTGAAAACCACACCAACCATGTCAAGCCTGCCATGTCCTGCTCCACTACAGGTTAACTTTGAGCTGCAGTCAGTTGGTGTGCATTACTCAGATAACGGGTGTAACATCTGGGCTGCCATATGAATTTTGGCCATAGGTATTGTTTAAAATCAACTTGAGTTTTGCACTCACCCACATAAAGCACATGTACATAGAAGACCACAAGCATCGAAAGCAACCCATTTTTTGAAATTATTTTTTGTCCACTGGCAAAACTTCAACAGTAGAAACAGCCAAATGATCCACCCACCCCACTTTAGATACAAACTCCACGCCAAAAGGGTGGGGTTGTTGCGGCAGAGCTTACACCCATACCTCCAGTAACGTTCTGCTTTGGCTATTCAGCTCCACGTAGACAGCACCGATATATCTTTAGGCGTGACCCACAATTTTAACAACCACTGCGGGTGACAGGTGCTCTAGTGAAAACTGGGCCTTCCTAATTGCATAGACACAAGACCAGCCCCCGCACCAAGCTCCTGCAGCGGCTCCCTGAAGGCGCGAATGGGAGGAGGGAGGGAGCGGGAAGGATGGAGCGGGAAGGAGGGAGCCGGAC